ATATATATAGATATATATATATATATGTGTATATATATATAGATATAGATATATATAGATTTCAGCTTGAGGTTAGGACTCCTGTATATCTTTGCACTACATCAGACAGGTGTTCCTGATTTCCTGCTCACTCAGTGGATTGTGTGTGTGTGTGTGTGTGTCAGTCATTCAGTTCTTGTGTGTGTTCATACAGGAAACGCATCAGGAGAAGAGGGTTGGTTGAATGTCGAGCAGTTCTGTTTCCTCCTGTAGTTGAACTACATGTCGTTGGAATGGCCATTATTGGCTTTGTTGGCAGATGCCACCCAGCTGATGTCATGTCCTCTCATACATCTACTGAGAATTGTTTGGGTATGATGGTGACTAAGGGCCAAAAACAAACCAGCATGTAGTCGTTGACCATGTGGCATTCATTAAGCAGAGCCCTGCACCAGGTGTGATTGATATGATGCAGTCCACTTAATCACAAGCAAGAAATTCACTACAAATAAGAATCACAATTCTTATTTTCTGTGATTCTAAATCAATTCATAGACTCAAAAACACTTGAATGTTTGTTCCGATACAGTTTGTTTCCTACCCGACACCTATACCTGAACATGCGTATGGATGTGATATGATTGCTATCATTGTATAGGGTCTGGCTCAGATTAAACCCTTTTGTAAAACATCTACAAATAGGTTACAAAAAGGGGATGAATGCCAAAGAAACTATTTATTATCTAGTCTGACAGTCAGTCATAACTGGAAAAGAACTGCTAAGATTTTGTTAGCTCTGGCTAATGGTACACACTCTGCTAGAGATATGTTGCTAATGGGCTACGGCTTTGGTTCCACATTACGCGCATCAATCGAGATACGGTGAATTGTCTTTGCACCGGACCATGATCCCTCGGGTACGATTACATGAACCTGATTGAGGTCGATAAATTAATTTGAAGAACAAAAAAAATCAGAAGTCATTCTTTTGGGACCTTAAACCTTCATGGAAATCTGATCGTTTTGACATCGGTACGGATTAGAAGCTTGTCTGTCGTATCTGTAGCCTGGTTGAAAACTTCTGAATTGCTGCCCACATGGAGACGTGCTCATCTTCTTACATATATAGCTTGGTCCATGAAACATAGTGACAGGAAATGCTAATGCTAACGCAGCTGTGAAGGTTGTTTTGAGTTGGCTAAGCCAACTATTCTTAAATCTGCATATTGTTTTGATCAATATGAAAAACATTAGGATATTTTTTAACTGGTCCTAGCAACCACACCTGCTATGTTGAATGAAGTGGTGCGAGTGGGACGGATGAGTCACTGGCTTATGATTGGTTAGGACGAAACGGAACAAAATAACCCCTCCCAGGAAGAAATGTGCTAACATGAACACAATGTCAGACTGAATGATTGAAGTGAAATCAAGTAGCAATCCAGTCTGATTGTCAGGCTATTTTAAAAGGATAACGTAGCAATAAAGAGTAACGTAGCGATAAAGAGTACTGTAAAGGACTCGGGGTCGGACCTTTAGGTTACAGCCAAAGTAACAAGCAGAAGATACAATTCTGTTCTTCTACTATCTGTGAATTACATCTCAGTGTAGCGTGTTAGCATGCTTGAATTTTCAGTCAATCTCAGTCTCGAGCCCTGGTACCTCCAGTACTTGCAGTAGAGATGGGCAATATATCGATATTATATCGATTTCACGGCAATCCATCCAATGGTCCAATCGTATTTTCCCTCAAATGGGCACAAACATTTGTTATGCTGTCGGTAAAATGAGTTTCACATTATAGTGTTGCATAATCCAGTTGTTTTGTGTCTACGTGACGAGGTCGTGCCACTCAGACATAAGCTGTTGTTCTTTGCTTATGTTCGGCCTCCTTTTGTGTCTTGTGGGTGTAACACAGCCTATATTGTATTCACTGCCTTTTCACCTCTACAGTATCTAGTATCTACTGATATCTCACCATCTTTATTTCATTGCAACTCTGCCGTTGTTGGAGGGAATAACTTATTTCCCTATTTTTGTGCATTGAGCCCTGAAAGTTGATCAACCTGAGCCTCTACGTCAAGACAAGGTTGTTTCTCAGTGTTCAGTTGTGAAACGGGAGAAGCCACCAACATCTGCATTCCTACGTGACTGAATACCACGCCTGAGGAGAAGACACGTATCACTTTGCAAAGTGACAAGCTACTGTTGTGATGATTAATTCATGTGAGGATTTGCTGTTTTTTCTCTTATTTATGTCATTGGATTTTGGAGCAGACAAAGCAACTCATTAGAAGATAAACACAGTGAGTTCTGGGAACATTTAATGAGCCTCTCCACTATTTCATCACGTTTTATAGACTAAATGGATGATTTGAAAATGAATCTACAGATTATTATAATGAAAATAATCCACAACAGAGAACTTAAAACAGGAAGCCTTTGTAAAGATGCACTGTGCTAAACTGGGATTGTACATTTGTATTCACTTCTCTTAATGAAGACAACAGAATACTTTTGAGTTTATCGTCGGGTCCTCTTTGTGGTTGCTTTTGGATTTTATTTTCAGCCCTTTTGCTCAATAGCAGCTCAGTCTGTTACTTCATTTCTGTGACTCAAATATCTGTAGCACGGCCTGGCAGCGTCTGGGTTTTTGCTGCCTTGGAGACAAAAGACTCTCCTGTTTAGAGGTTCGGATGTGGCCCGATGTCCACCATTGCTAATCGGGCTCCTCACTGCCATCCGGTTTGGCAGTATGGATGTAGCATGAGGGGCCTTTGCCTCCTTCTTCAGTTGGTGCTCCTGAGGTGGCTGTGCATACACACCTGCTTTGAAGCCCCCCCTTAAACGTGAATGACCAAATAAATTTCCATTTTACACAAAAAAGGGAAATGAGAAAATGGTTCTGGCTACAAAAACTACAATTGACCTCACTATTAGCATGTGAGATGAAAACATTAGCAGGATATATATTTCTCCAGTCTTGTAGATTTGCAGTATTTACACAGTGAGTCTGTTCCGGTGGATGCCTTTCGGTGGCAACGAGGTCTTCTAGCTCACAGGAATGGAGCGGTGTTACAGTTTGAACGGACTGAGCATGCTCCGTGGAGACCCTTCTGAAGAGGAGGACCGACAGAGGGAGCCACCAGGTCACATGACCGGCGAGGTGAATGTGCATGCGGGGAACGAACAAGGAAAAGAGGAGCAATCTGTTCGACACATTCTCGCACTCTCTCTCCCTCTCTCTCTCTCTCTCTCTCTCTCTCTCTCTCTCTCTCTCTCTCTCTCTCTCTCTCTCTCTCTCTCTCTCTCTCTCTCTCTCCCACACACACCCACACTCTCCCTCACCCACACACTCTCTCTTTCTCTGATGTCTTCTTCTCAATGGAGGCCATGAGAAGAAACAAGGTATGATTCTTCCTGGAGTCTCACTAGGGAGAAGACATGTTGGCTTTATACTCTTCACCCGTGGTTGGCTCTGAATGGTCTGAGGAGTGATGTCTAGTCTCGCTTCTCAGTTCCTTTTAGCCGTTTTCTATGAAAATCACCATCAGTTGCTGTCTTCTCGTTGAGATGGTCTCTCAGTTTGTAAGAGACTGATAGCTCTTGATTCCCAAAATCAAGGACTTAATCTCGAAGAGCAGCGTTTTTCTCTTTGGTAGCAGTGCCGCTGTATCAAAGACAGATTTTAAGAGTGGCTCTGCTGGATCCTGTTGTTGGAGAGCACAACAGCTGTATCTGAAGCAATCACACAACGGGAGAGATGATGTAACTTGAACGTCTGACCTCCCTGAAACAACCCTGAGAGTAGATTTTTAAAATCTGGGATCCAACGTCCTTTTTCTTGCTCCGTCCCTCGTGGTTGGTATATAATGATGTCTCAGGGGACTGGACGTTTGTGCAGCTCAGGCTCTGTGCTCAGGAACACACTGGAACATAAGGCTGGATGCATGTTGGGCTGCGGCGTCAGAATCCATGTTTACCGGCTTTGATCTTCTGTGCAGCTCTCTGGCTGATGGCCAGGCCTAGCATCAGTCAGTTTGCACACTTAATCAATGGACAGGTTATTTAGTTGCTGATTCCTGGATTTTTATGCCAAACAGTCTGTTATTTAATGACTGTTTGAAGTTGTTATTTTGGTATGTTTTTGCCTTTTTATTTGGATAGCGGAGAGGTGACAGGAAATGAGGGGGGAGAGGAAGGACGACGGGCCTGATGCAGACTGGGATCACTGCGGTTGCACGGTCAGCGTGTCGGCTCATTAGACGATTACCAGGAAGAGTTGATAATGTGCAGAACCAAGAATGTTTTTACCAAATTTCTTTAGAACAATGGTCTCCAATTATGAGGTTGCGACAGTTCAAGGGGCCGCAACAGAAACCTGAGGGGTCTCAAGGAGATAGGAAACACCAAACAAAGAAACCTTTGTGCTGCCTCTTTCTTGTGAAACACTGTGTGGTTTTACCTCGTCGGGCCTTTAAAAAACCTGAGAAGTGGACAACCACCCTCTGGTCAAAGACCTCACAGCCCATAGTCGAGGACATGCAAGTAGATCCGGCTTCACTTTAATGGATCAAGTTGCATCATTGTGTGGATCACTGCTTTATAACTCACTGTTGTCTTTTCTCAGGCTGTGTGAAATGCAGTTGGGTACGTTTTTTTTAGCCTTTTATCTCATTTGGGTGCTAGCAGCAGCAGCTTGCGCGTGTGATAAGTGTGTCAGCTGATTGTGTTTGTGTTTTAGTTTTCAGGCCTCCTGCAGTCGATCTGAAGATCACATGATTGATGCTATTTTATAGCATGAAAATATTACATCTAATCTATTAAGAGCTTATTTCAAATAATACTACTAAGCTTATTTTTAATGGTCTAGTCTGGAATGTAAACCTCTGGGCCATTGTAGCCTCAGTTTTGCAGCCGTAGCTGGAGCCTTAGTTTATTCTAACAGATATACATTTTTTTAATGTGCCACTTAAGGTTCCTGACCAACACTCGGAGCCTTGGCTTCACATTTGGAGCTTCTTTCAGCAGCATCCACGCTCCTCCAGATCCCTACGTTCCCCATCTAGTGGAACAGCGCTGCAATGGCCGCGGTGTGTCAGTAAACAGTCGGGTTGCGAAATGGCGGAGATCTGCAGACAGGCTTCTCTGCCTCCCTCCCTCCCCCCCCTTTCCTTTCTGTCTCCAGTGTGTGGGTTCCACTCTCTACCACTAGGGGGAGGGCTGAGGCTGGTGTGTTTTTGTTTTTTGTTGTAACTGGCTCTCCTCAGTCCATGGCAATGAGGAAGTGAAGGACCCTTCTTGTCTTCGCCCTCACACGTGCTCACTAGATGCCTTGAGATCAGAGACCACAGAGGATTGTCCCAGACTAGATGTTCTTTTGGAAACAGCCTCAGGTATTGTGCTCCTGGCTCCCGGCTCTTGGCCTGACCCTGTTTCTGTTTGGAGAATGATTTGGGGAACTCTGTCCTGGTGGCTCATTTAGTTGGGAAGTCGGTTGTGTGCCGGTTTCAGGACAAACACTCTTTGTTGAATCTGAGGATCTGACTCTCGGAGCCCTTGGAGAGGAGAATTAAATTGCTCGAATCATTCTGTTATAATGAAGCTTTTAGTGGTCTCTGTCTCTCGCAGGTCTTGTAATTGGGAGAAAATGTTTGCTCTGCTTACTTGAGACGATCAGACTCAGGAGCTGCATTTAGCACTCACTAGATAAGAGCCTAGCCTTAAGCAGCACATGTGTCTGTGCATCCACCTTAAATCTGCTGGGTATGAGCGTCACACTTGGTCAAGGGGACCGTAAACCTTCCTGATAAGTCCTAAAGGAATGCTGCTCTTCAAGGACCACTTTCCTTTGACATCTAGTCTAAATGTGTGGATGAATGATGTATCGGGCCTCTTGTTTGTCCTTTGGGCCTTTTTTTCCCCCCAGAGTGAGAACAAGGTTGACGGTCTGCTCAGGAGGAAGAGAGAGTTTTACATTTCCTGGTGTTGCCTCTTCATCTGCTGCCTCCTGTGAGACGTAAAGACGGTCTGTGGGTGGCTGAGATTTCTTTTGATGCCCGGGCTGTGCGTCTCCTTCTCTCCTGGTTGGCTGTGGCACACAGAGAGAGAAGACGGACAATGAGAGTGCATGGGGGTCGCCCTCATTGTCTCGGCCTACTCTGTAGTCTCTGGTCCTGACAAAGACACGCTACTGAAGAGGTTTTGACGCAGCGTTCGGTTTATAGACCGAAGTTGGTTTTATTCAGATACTCGTGCTTGGGCCTGGATTTTGTTTTTGTTTGTCAGTTGATAGAAAATGAATTTTGATAATCGAGCAACATTGGCAAACATTCTGCTGCTTTTCTCAGTTTTTATAACATTTAGGCCCGCAACAATTCTTTTCATTGTCATTTAAGCTATTTAAGCTATTATATAAGTCCATTGATCATAGTCTTAAATTGTTTCGGCACATCAACATTTTCACTTTACATCGATATAAAAAGGACAAAAGCAGACGATCCTCACAGAGAATGTTTGGTATTTTTGCTTGATAAATGACCTAAACAATGAATTGATAATTGAAAATTGTTTCCGTCAATCGACTAATGAATTAACTCAAGGAATCGTCTCTGCACTGATATCATGAATTTGATGTATTTGGGTTTTGTGGCTCAGATAGAACAAATGATTTAAAGAGGACACCCTGGGCTTTGGGAACTTATGATGGGAATTTTGTAACTATTTTCAAACTAACCGATTGAGTGAAAAGCTGATTGAAAACAACAATAAAATAATCGTTAGTCGGAGCTCTAAATTTGTTTCCCCTTGACACATGTGTTGTTTTGTCATCAGCCCGCTGGTCTAGCCAAGGGCAGCGTGGATAAGGGTGCATCCACAAAGAAAGAGGAACTTGATGCCGCAAGCAACGGAGAGGAGAAACCAGGTATTAGTCAAATTCACCTTGAAAGCTCTTAATCTATGAAAATTAACCGTTTACGTTGTAGTTTGCATTATTTCTTCGTTTTTCTTTCTTCCGTAGATGTTGACAAAGAGATAGCTGTCAGGCTGTCGTCCTCCCCTCCAGCAGAGACGATGCTGAACGGCACCGAATGCGACGCCGCGCGGCACAAGAGCCCGACACACGGCTCAGCGACCGCCAACAACAAGACTTTGCTGCTGCTCAACGAAAATGGCACGTCGGACGTGGAGCCACCACACGGTTCTGTTACTGGAAGCAACGGATTCATTCTCACGAAGCAGCAGCAGGACGGAGGCTCCGCAGCGAAGCCGGGTTCGGCAGTTTCCCCTCACAGGACTAACTGGTTGCCTTCGGGCTCACCGACAGGGGGGGACACGGCCAAATCTCCCCCGGCCTCGGCGTCTGGGTGCACGCAGAGTTCAGGCGCGCTAAGGACTGACCCCAGTACAGGGACTACGTCGGGACAGGAGACACCGGACACTAAGAACGGCATGGCCTCGTCTCCTGCCCCGGCTCCAGCAGCCGTCACGATACACAGAGCGCGCAAGACCATGTCCAGACCTGCTGTGAGCCCGGCACAAAAGGTAAACCGCCGGGATCTGGGGCGTCATCAGCCAATCACAAGTGTGTCCTGACTCTTTCTCTCATCACTTTCTGTTATGGTGATGTAGATGACATAATTATATCATATCATGAGGACAGACGTACGTCACACCCATACATGTGGTAGTTGGTCCTTCCAAACCATGGGCATTAGTCTACTGCTGTACAGCTTTCCACCAGATTTTGAGACCCGGCTGCAGGGATTTGCTCCCATTCAGCCCCGAAAGCATTAGTGAGGTCCAACACCTGGATCACAGTCAGTTTTTTCAGTTCATCCGAAAGGTGTTGGATGAGGTTGAGGAATTTGTGCAGGCCAGTCAAGTTCTTCCACATCTAACTGGGAAAAACATTTCTTCATGGACCTGTCTTTGTGCACAGGGTCTTCTCCCAAATGTTGCCACAAAGGATCACACTGTTGTCTTGTATCCTGTGGCATTATGGTTCCTTTAAATAGGAAGTAAGCTGCCCAGACCACAAGAAACAGCCCCAGATCAAAAGTACACAATGTGTCCACATACGTTTGGCCATATTGTGTCGTTGTGTGCAAAATCGCACGTAAAATAGGGCTGCTCGATTAATCGAATATTAATCGCCATCACGATTTTGGTATCCCACAGTTATATGATCACGATTGACACTTAAAATGTGCTCTCCGTTCATAGAAAACTCAATTGCATGTTAAATCTAGCACTTGTTAAACTTTCAGCCAGCTGCCTCAAAAATAATGGTGATTATCATTTTGGCCATAATCGTGCAGATAACTGATTTTGGTTATTGTTGCCTGCAGCTTCTTAACAGGGAATTAAGAGAAGCACAGAGTGCCAAAATGGAGAAAATGGAGACTCATGTTGTACCGGACGCTCAGAAACCCTCGCAGCAGCCCTCCGCTCAGAACCATCTACCTCAGAGTCCACCGGATACTCCAGCTTCAGCACAAACAGCTTCATCGGCTTCACCAGCACCTCCCACAGCTCCCGCAACACCTCCGTCTCCCGAGGATCCTCTGGCTCCACCGGCTGCACCGGCTTCTGCGGCTCCTCAAACTTGTCCAGCTCCAGCCAAGCTCCAACTAGGTCAGACAGACTCCAGTAACACGTGACAGAAACTGACCTGTAGAAACACTGACTTTGTTCTCGGGTTTCAGAGATAAAGAAGTAAGACCAGAGCATCATCTCGATTGACGGTTTTGCTGTAAACGTGTGTTGTGTTCTCTTGTGCCCTAGGTCCGTACTCAGGAGGGTTTTCGTCCCGGAAGAAGAAGAGGAGGATGGGAATGTACAGCCTGGTTCCCAAGAAGAAAACCAAAGTGCTTAAGCAGAGAACTGTGCTGGAAATGTTCAACGAACTACAACAGTCTGCCAAGAGCCCGCAGGTCTGTGCTCCTCACATTTATCCAAACAAACACTATTTAAAGGCACAATGAGCAGGATTATCCTGGACGACAATGTGTAGACACAAAAGAATTCCCTCTCAATCATCATCACTCATGACCCTCTTAGAGTGTACGCCAGTGTCTGCATGTGCAGAGACCCTGCCCTCTGCCTGGATGTTCTTATTGTTCTGTGTTCGGGACGTTTCTGGGCATCAACCTCTATAAAATGTAGCGACCAGGCCGTAAGCACGCATCGCCGATAAAACCGCAAATACAGCGAGGCGAAACGCCAAGTGGAAAAAGCTTGTTCCCACCCCTGGGATTCTTTTTTAAAACGTATCCTTCTCTTGCACGCTTTGTGAACTGTTCTTGAATGTCAGCGTGCCGTTTGGCAAGGTTTCAACCAAGTGAAGTCAAAACATGTGGTGTGTTTGTACCACAAGCTCTCTTAGCTTTTTCAGTCTAATAAATAAACAAAATAAACTCATAAAATGTCAAGAAAGGAAATATTCTTGCACCTTTTTTCCTTATTAAACCGTACGCCTTCTGAATTGAAGTTTCTCTCTTTCACCAAACTAAGATTACCTTAATTGTCTTGTTGACTCTTTGTAAAACGCACGTCACTCAGTAGAAACAAAATAAAACTCACCAAAACCATGTTGGTCATTCTTTCCACTGTTCACTCTGGTTTGGTCAAAATAAATCCTTAATTCACAGAGAGAGAGAGAGAGATGTGCTCGCTTTACACACTCTTTTTCCCACTATGCACGTCTTTGCACGTAAACACAAGCAGGCGTACGTGAACTCTACCTAAACAAATCTGTCTGAAGCAGACAAACATCTGATCAGTTGAATCTGACATTTGATGCCAGACTTTGATAAGTTTCAGTTGAACCAAAAATAATTATTTTCCAGCATATCTTGAGATCGTTATGATCGTCATCTCGTCCGCTCTCGTCTCACAGGCTAAAGAGGTAGCAAACATTAATGGCGAGAAGGTCGAAAATGCATCCGAAGAGGAAGAGTCCGAGGAGGTGGAGTCTGAGGAAGAGGAGCGACAGCAACCGACAGAAGAACCCGTCAGTGCTGTCCAGGAAGCCACAGCTGAACCCATCTCTCAGGTTGGAACAAGACACTTTTTATTTTTTATTTCCGTCATTTTGTTTTTATGTTTATGGCAGTGTTGTACAATTGTTTTATCTTCAGCTGAAAAAGTGACACCTTCCTGGGAAATAGAAAACCGTACTTCCATCCAAGTATCACAGTGTTCTTCGAATGCATTTCGATATGTCTCGTGTTAAACGCTTTATGTTTGCCGTGGAGGTGGGAGATGAGCAGGAGTCTGAAGAGTCTGGAGAAGATGAGGGAGAGGAGGAGGGCACAGAGTCCGACTTGGTAAGACCCGCCATCACTACTCAGCCGAACTACTTAGGAGTATTCGATCTCACCTTACGCCATCTCTTTTGAGTGAAGACGGAAGAGTTTGAAAAATCATCTCTCTATACGTCTGCCTCAGAGCACGGAGTCCAGTCTGAAGAAGAAGTTGAAAAAGAAAATAAAGAGAGACGGCGCTTGGCTCAGGCCGTCCAGGAAACGGAAGAGGAGGATAAAGGCCAAAGGTGATCGCCGCTCCTGTCACACCCACACCTGTACAGACTCATCCAGTTGCTCACCTGTGGTCCACTAATGAGCATGTTTTTATTGGCTAAAAATGTAAAGGAAAAACAGTTTTGACTGGCAGTATTTATAATGGCGTCGAGCTGATTATGATCTCAGAACTGCATGCAGAATGGCGGCTACATAAAAGAGAGACGGCAAACTGGTTTGTGGTTAAAGATTTAGAAGTCACTCGTCACTTGTGCTGATCAACGAGGCCGAGTGTGGACATGCAGCTCCACCAGAAACAGGAGTACATCCTGTTCACACTTACTCATTCATCGCAGGCAGTGTGAGTTGGTTTCACTTGTTGCACTACTTTATAGATTTCTGTTTCTTAATTGCTTTGTCGTACAGATCTTGACACGTTTCTTTCAAATATCAACATGAGGAGGATTTGATTGACCGTAGCATCGCTTTCTCTCCTTTCTTAAATGCAATGGTAAACAAACAGTGAAGCATTTTCTTACTGATCACTGTCATTGTGCTCAGAACTGGAAGCAGTGGATCAGCCTCAGGCTGCAGCTGAGCCCAAGGTGGCTGATGGGAATGAGCGCACGCAGATTTCCTCACCTGAGTCCGTCAACCTCAACAAGCCCCAAGAGCCGACGGTTCCCTCAGAGAACAAAGGTGAAATCAGACGAAATGAGGAAACTATTTCAGACTATTTCCTTTAAGTTTGTTCCTAAGTAAGTGAAACATTGTGCAGATGCTTGTGTTCAGACATCTTTTAGAACAAAATAAGTTTGACTTCTCGTTGGATGAAAAAATTGCTACTTTGGCAGCCAACGTATGATTTAGGGCGTCGGGTCCTTCTGCTGATTTACCTGAAACTCATTTAATCTCATGCTGAGGTAAATGAAGGTGAACGTCTGACTTTGTTTGTTTGCAGACACTTCAGGGTCGGTGATTGAGGAGGCTCAGGAGCTTCCGCTCTGCAGCTGCCGCATGGAGACGCCCAAGAGTCGAGAGATCCTCACGCTGGCAGACAGGAAGTGCATGGCCACGGAGAGCGTTGATGGACAGCTGACCCGCTGCCAGGGCGCCATACTGAAACATGAAATGATGCGTCCCTCCAACTCGGTTCAGCTGCTGGTTCTGTGCGAGGACCACCGCAACGGCATGGTGAAGCACCAGTGCTGCCCTGGCTGTGGCTTCTTCTGCAGGGCTGTGAGTGCGCACCGTCTTTTATTAACGTCAGGGCTTCAGCAGCACTATCCACAGCAGTACTATGAATGCCTTACGAGAGAGGTGCCTGGACCAGCTCAGAACCTATGCAGCAGTATAAATCGGCCCATTACAGCTCGTTTTGTTTTTCATTCGGTTCTGGTTCAAATTTGCGCTGCACACAAATGTCCCTTTTCTCTGTTACCTGGATTAAACTCTGTGGATGTTTCATGGTGAAAAATCCAGATATCACCTGCACTGTTTAATACTTCAGAGAGGTGAAGTCACCTCCTGTCTGAACCAGGAAATACAATTATAAAATTAAAGTAAAGAAGCAAAATAGAAGCAATTTACAGCAACTGGTGACATTTCTAAGATCAGATGCCAAGACGATATACATAATTAACACTAATTAAAACTACAAAAGCGAGGGCCATCCACTCATTTGCTTTTCGTTGCGCAGGGGACCTTCATGGAGTGCCAACCGGACCTCAGCATCTCTCACCGTTTCCATCGTGCTTGTGCCTCAGTGCTGAAAGGTCAAAGCTTCTGTCCCCACTGTGGAGAGGAGGCCAGCAAGGCCAAGGAGGTCACCATCGCCAATGCCGACACCACCTCCACCGTGCCGCCCGCGCTCGAACACGGACCAGCCACACCTGGGGTCCCCGAGGGCCGAGCGGACACCACCACTGACAGGTGAAGTACCGCCTGGGAGAGTCAGAATGGGCGGGAAGTTACCCAACATGATTATCGGAGGCCCTTTAACATGACGTTCATGTTAAAGGGCAGCCCCAAAGAAAAGTCCGTCATGCACCGCACACCTGAAGTACCCTCTCCTTTTTATCCCAGCTCCTCTCGTCTGGCTGTGGGGGCTGAAGTCAGTGGCAGGGCCGACAGCTCGCTGTCTGCTCGTCCTGCACACGGGCTAGACTCCTCTGCCGTTCCTGGTTCGTCCATGACGCCAACACTGCTGACTGGTTTGGGAACAACGGTGCCACCTACAGTCCCTCAAGGACCGCCTAGAGAGACTCTGGAGAGCATCCTGGTGGCGCTCGACACAGAGAAGTTCGTTCTACCACCAGACTGTCATCATGATTTATCCGACTGACCAGAGAGCCTGTAGCTTTGAGACAAACATGGACAACCGACTAACTTGTTTTTTTTTTTTGTGCGTGTTTCAGGCCCAAGAAGCTGCGTTTTCACCCCAAACAGCTTTACCTCTCGGCCAAACAGGGAGAACTCAAGAAGGTCTTGCTCATGTTGGGTATGTTAACCTTACCTCATCGATCCTGTTCTATATAACATCTTGTTTGTATCTTTCTCTGTATGCGTCTAGCGTTTGTTTTTATGCAAATGCTTTTTCTCCATTTATCTTCCAGTGGACGGTATCGACCCTAACTTTAAGATGGAATCTCAGAACAAACGCACCCCGCTCCACGCTGCAGCGGAAGGAGGATACAAAGACATCTGCCACATGCTCGTGCAGGTAGGAGCCCTGTACTTACTCCTGTGCTAATGAATACGGTTGCTTTTAGATCCTCAGTTTATTGTTTTAAGATGAGAAATGTCATTCTATGTCTTGTAAAATGTGATACTTGAGGACTATGGCAAGCTCTCTTGAGTTCTCTAACCGCTCTCTGACATTTGCCACTTCAGGCGGGAGCGAACTTGGACATGTGTGACGAAGATCAGCGGACGCCACTGATGGAGGCCTGTGAGAACAACTACATGGACACGGTCCAGTACCTGCTGAGAGCTGGAGCCAGCGCCATGCACAAGGTTAACCTGCATCTAGTTTCTCTTTCATCGACCAGCTGCAGTGAGGAGTAATCTGACCTTTTCATCTTTTGTCAGCCGTCACACTGGTGCTTTTTGTATTCTTTTTGTCCAAATGAAATACAAAAAACTGAAATTAACTTATTTAATTCAAGATGTTAAAGTGACATATTTATTACTTTATCACATGCATATATACAGGTGCTGGTCATATAATTAGAATATCATCAAAAAGTTGATTTATTTCACTAATTCCATTCAAAAAGTGAAACTTGTCTATTATATTCATTCATTACACACAGACTGATATATTTCAAAT